CCAAAAAAAAAAAAAAAAAAAAAAAAAAAAAAAAAAGGAAGCATGTGAAGATAAAACAAAAAGCATTCTTGCCTGCAGAAAAAGGGCCTCGGTGGATCCACTTGCAGGAAATTGTAGCCTGGGCCAGGTGAGGCTCTTGTCACAGGACTATGCCATCAGACACAGGTGAAGTCTGATGACAGCTTTCCTTAACTCCTGGAGGCAAGAGAAACTGACACTGTGAACAAAAACCTGGAACTGCTTTTTTTGAACTCAGATTTACCCACAGGAGCAGTCAAATTTACCAATAATCTTTATCAGTGGAAACTGATTGCTGATTTAAGGAAATAAGATACTTGTAAGTAGAGAACTTCAACAAAAACATTTGGAGGGGATTATCTTGGCACCTATTATGAGGTATTGTCCCATCTCCCCTAGGGTGATGGAGACAGAAAGGATTACTCAAAGCCTATTTCTTCTGAGCAGTGAGAAGCCCCGAAGGGGTTAATTTCCAGGAACCCTCAAGAGAGAGGCATTCCTTCTTGGAAAATTAACACCGAACTCCTCCTGTCTTCTCTCCATATTTATTCTTCAGGCAGGAAAGTTACAGAAAAGGAACATAGGTGGTTACAAAAGAACAGTGAGATAATTGTCATGGCAACAGTCATTAGGTTTATTTGCACCAAGGACATCTGCCTTTGGAGCCAGCAATTTTGCTGTGTTACAGTTCTTTATCTACAACAGAGACTTTAGCCTGGGGAAAGTTTCCTGTCTTCTGCAAGCTTAACATTTCTATGTGTAATTGTAAAAAGTTAGGTTTTACCTGAAACTACAGGGCTTTGGAAGCTAGGCCCTGTGAAATACATTTGCTTTATTAATGTTAGCACACTCCACAAGGTATTGTCCCAGTTTCCTGGGGGCAACTTCACAGCTGAACAGCAGGTAGAGCACGAGCTGGGTTTCCCTGAAGGACACACTTTGCTGACAACAGGGAAGGCTTGAGGCTACAGGATCCCCTTCCCTGTCTCCAGGCAAGACTGTATCTAAATCTCATTAGATGGATGGCTGCTTCCCCTCCTTCATGAACCCAGAGGAAGAAGATTCTAGAATCTCTCACCTGCCCATTGTCCATTGCTCTCTGACAGTAAGAGGAAAATGCCACCTGGATTTATATGATGTAAAGTTACCAAGGTGGCTGCTGTCATTTTCTAATGCCCCCTTTTCACAGAAGTGTGCTTTTCCTTAAGCCTCTGCATGACTCTGGTTCTGGTTTGCAGGAGTTGTGTATAACTACAATGTTCATGGTGTCCAGCGAGATGAAGCAGGGTGGGAGCAGAGTCTAAGTATCCCATTACTGCAGCCCAACATGTTTGGACTCATGGACCAATGGGACAGGTACCTGGAAGACTTCTCCACCACAGGGACCTGGCTGCCTCACAGGTACGTGGCCACAACGACCACCACTCACTGGCCCTCATTCCCACCCGAGTGTGATCCCTGTGTGGTCACAGCTCACAGAGGACTCAGCTGCATTTAGTTTCACGTTGAGCCCATACTGAGATATTAGCCCCCATAACACAATGGAAACAGGTGTTGAATTATTGTAGGTTTCCTACAGATGGGGGTCAGCACACATTTACACAACCAAATCAGTGTTTGAAGAGCTGAAAGGACCAGAACCTTTTACTGTAGTTATTTTGGTTCTGTGACTAGGTATTTTTACACATATACAGCAAAAATCAAGATATTATATTCCCTTAAAACAAAAAAAAAGTTTTTTTAAGTGTTCACAATGTCAAACTATTTAAAGTTCTTTGTTTTTTAAATTTAGTTTTAGCAATTTTGAAATTAATTTCTCAATTCCTTCATCCCTCAACATTTTAGATGTATAGCATGCTTGTGGATTTAAATTGTTTTGAGGCTTCCCTTGAAATAAGTTCAGACAATTTGGGATTTAAAACTCAGATATGGAATTCCACTTCTAAAATCTAGAATTTTATTAAAATTAAGTTCCTCAAATTGGCAGTTTACATGCAACAAAGTCACCACGCTGAACATCTGGGTGAGTCCACTCCTATCAGCCCTTAAGTAGCAAGTAGAAATAGCCCAAGACACCAATCGTCTCCCAGGATTGCATCTCTTGAAGCTTCTAACCAAGTGGGCTGGCACACATAGGGGCCAGCTCACTGAAGAACCCAATTTCAATTACAAAAGTCCTTGCAGAGGACTGCTCCTAAGGAGCTTTTAAAACTGAGTCTTCTCTCAATGTCCTTGTTTTGTAAGGTATGAGGAAGACCACCACAACTGCTACAGCTACACCCTCACGTTCATCAACTGCATTCTGACCATGGAAGGCAGAGAGCAACTGGACAAGAGTGAGTTCACAGAGAAATACGTGGTCCCGAGGACAAGGCTGGCTTCCAAGTACATCACACTCTATCGGGCAATAGAAGAGCATGGCTTCTACGTGACTGACCGTCCTGACCGAGAGACAGGCCCTGCTTAAGGAAGCGTCTGTGCCGAGTGCTGTGCGCAAGGGCAGAGGGGACAGGACGTTGGGGGATTACCGCCTTTACTCAGCACTGTGGATTTCTACATGTAGTTAACTGTGGCATGAAGAAAGTGTATGGTTTTCCTTTAAGCATATTGCTGCTTACCACAGCATAAGAATTTATAAAAACTAATAAAAATTGCTCTGGGTTTTACAAATTGTATGCGTTACAATTAAATTATTTTCGTAGTGGTTGAATTTTTAAACTGAGAACCCACATTACATAAAGCAGAAAGTGGCAGCACCTTTTACTCACAGAGCAATGAGAACTATTCTATTTTTTTTTTTCCTTTTTGTCTTTTTTTACTGACCGGTAACGGGATCGCAACCCTCGGTGTCGCGCCCGTACCGGGGACCGGCAACGGGATCACAACCCTCGGTGTTGCGCCCACACCACGCTCAGCCAGTGAGCGGAAACCGGTCTCCACATGGGATCCGAACCCTCGGCGGGAGCGCCGCCGCGCTCCCAAGCGGCCACCGGGCCGGCCCATGAGAACTATTCTTATAAAGTACTTAGAGCTGGACAAGTTCACCTGTTGATGTGAATCCAGAAAGTGCGGATTTCAAGACAGGAAGGTGAATTAGACACAAGTTAGGAAGTAATGAGTACCTGCCCTTCATTGTTTTTATTTTAAAAGTACATGGTAACGCTTGGATAGTCAAAAACAGTAAAACAAAACGAAGCCGAAAACACCCCTCAGAGTGTCAGGAAACGGCCACGACTTTTGAATGAGCTCTTTTGAGTCTATATGCACAAACTGGATTGGCGACTATGCACATCAGTGAGACGCCAGTCTGTTCCATCTTGCCTGGCCTGACACAGGGAGACTGGGGTTGGTTTTACTACTGCAAAGCACTTCCTCTGCCCACTCAAAACATGGAATTCAGAAAGGACACAAAGAAAGGGCTGTCTTCTTTCTTCTAATAACTCAGGAGGAGGAAGGGAGAAACTGGGATGAGTAACTATAAAGAAATCTGTGATTTTTAACAAGTATGTTAGAATTTGTATACCTAAATAGTCATTGTAGTGGACTGAATTATGTCCTCCCCAAACTCACTAAAGCTTGAATTGTGTCCCCCAAGTTTTACGTATTAGAAACTTAGCCCCTACTATGACAGTTAACAGGGTGGGAAATCCTATTATGGAATTGAAAGGTGGAGCCTTGAAGAGGTGATTGAATTGTAGGACCGTGCAGTAGTGAATGGATTAAAAATGGTGGTCAGGGGCGTGGTTCTGAGGGCTTTAAAAGAAGAGGAGAGTCTGTATGTCTGTCTCTCTCTCTGCTCTCTGCTTCCACTATCTTGCAATGTGAGACCCCTGGATCACTGTCGCCACTCCCAGATGGACTCTGGACTTCCCAGCCTCAGAAACTGTAAGCAATAAATTTCGTTTTTCTTTTTAATTACCCAGTTTTGTATATTTTGTTATAAGCAACACAAAATGGACTAAATACAGTCATCAAACTTTAAATAGCCAGTGTGCAAAACATTTCAGAATTTCTCTTTGGAAATTTCTTCCAGAAATCACTTAGTACTTGACCAAACATGATATACTACCCCACTTAATCATATTCCCCAGCCTGGGCACCAAGTGATACTTAATTTCCAAAAACCAAACCCATCTTCAAGGTACCCATAACTACCCGATGCTAAAATAACTTAGTGGGAGCCATTAGACTGAGATGGATCCAACACCCAGGTTCCTACCTTTTTTTTTTTTGGTAGCTGGCCGGTATGGGGATCTGAACCCCTGACCTTGGTGTTATCAGCACCATGCTCTACCAGCTGAGCTAACCAGTCAGCCCATGGGTTCCTACCTAATACAAACTAAAACTTAAGCTTAGCTAATCATAAATGGCCAACTGAGCATTAGTTATAAAATCAGAGACTTTCCACTGAGATAATCCAAATAAGGCAACTGCTCAAACTTTAACCATTCAATTTCTTTACTATGCTTCCTCATCCGCACTGTAAGAGCCTTCCCTGCAAACTCTTCCAGCAGAGCCCAGAACCACATTTGGCACTGTCCAATTCATGAATTACCATTTGCTCAAATAAACTCTTAAAAATTTTAATGTGCTTTATCTTTTAACACTAGTAACAAAGCTATTCAGAAAACTTGCCACAGACCATTAAAGCTTGTTTCCAAACAGGCATCTGATCAATGTTTCAGCACAGGCAACTTCAGTGGGAAAAAATGCACAGCATCCCAACATTTGCACCACAAATTCAGGTACTTTTCTTTAAAGGAAACCAAAACTGCCCATCCAGAATAGATGCCACTTTAAACTGAACTATGAGGGTGCTCCACAGGGTTCAAGAAGTCATAAAGACCTCAGGGGTAAAGATGAAAGATCTGTTGAGTTGGAGGAATATTCCAATTTGCGCCCATTCTCTTCACACTCTATTCTATGAACTGAACAATGTTGCTCAGTTCATAGAATTATTCAATTAAGTTTCCTTTAGCATACCAGCTAAATGCTAGCTGAAGCAACATGGAGACTCAGCATTGGCACCAACTTGTTTCCCCAGATGAAGTCTCAGTGTTCTTCCTGGCACCACCCAAAACATGCTTCTTCATTTCATTGTTAAACACTGCCCGGGGCACACATATGAGGCTTGATCAATGCTCATGGAATGACCACTGGGCTCCTTACCACAGCAAGTGCCTCAGTGTTATTGATGAAAAGACTAAAGTGACCCCCACAAAGGTACCTTTCCAAAGCCTCTACGGCATACATGAACTACTCCTATAACCAGGAAAACCCAATAAACATTATTAAAGAAAAAACAAAAAAACCCCACAATGGCTGCATCTAGCTCCCTTTGTACAGGAGGAGCTCACTGCTCTACTTCCTCTCTCCCAACCTCCTGTGCTCTCACCACTTCACCTCAACCTATTTTTCTATCACTTCCTCCTCCACCATCTTACCTACCAGAGCGTAAAGTAGGCTTTTCACTTCCCAAAGAAAACAATGATGGCAATGCTTACGCTTTATCTGAAAGGGAAAAAAGTGTACCTACTATGTGCCAGACCCTTCTGTATGTTATTTTATTTAGTCTGCAAAACAAAGACAGGGTGTATCCCCACTTTACAGTTGAGGAAACTGAGGCTTGGGGTGATTAAGCAACGTTCCCAAGGCCACCACTGTTTCCCTAGTGTTGACTTGAAATGTGGACCCAGGTTTTCTGATTCTTATCATAATGTGCCATTTAAAACTTAGGCAGAAGAATATTTGCCTTTGAAGTATTGCACATGAAAATGTAAAGATTCTAAAAACTGTAAATGCTAGAAACCTTTCACTTAAAGGAAATTACATTTGCAATAAAAATACTACCTCTTAGTTTAACAATTTTACAAATATGCTTTTTTACAACATGTATTCTTAAGCAAGGTATTCCTATATTTCACAAAAGAGTAAACATTTGAAATTCCCAGTTTTTTTAAAAAAAAAACAGATTTAAGAAAAATTGGTGGGTTAAAATATCTCAGTTTTTAAAATGGGCCTCAGTTACAGTATGAAGGAAGTTAATATTCATGGGATTATTTAAGTCTATAATCAAATTTTGTGTGTGTGGTTTTATTTTTTTGTGTGTGTGGCTGGCCATTAGGGGATCCGAACCTTTGACCTTGAGGTTATAAGGCTGTACTCTAACCAACTGAGCTAGACGGCCACTCTATAATCAAATTTTAAAAATTTAATTCAATTGGTAAAATCATAAATGGAAGGTGGGCGGTAGGGAAAAGAGAAATTTTATTTCTTTTTAACTTAAGTACTTCCCCAAAAGGGGTAAAATAAGTTAAGAGCCACATTCAAGTAAACAGCAACTTTTTAAAAAGAGAAAACATTAAAAACAAAACATTATAAGTAACAATGAAATTTTAGTTTTGTATATTATGCTCAAGAATGCAGGGAAATCTAACCAGCTCCAACTAACTTCTCCAGCCTTGCAAACTTGCCTAAAAGCCATGTCCCATTCACACTGGTTTAATCACTGTAAAGCGTTATGTATGGACTAAGTGCTTACTTTATAGAGGTGAATCTCTTCATGAGAGAACTTAGGACGGTCAATGGACGCTGCCATTCCTCCTCACAGTCTGGGGATGAGGTCAGAAAATATTAGCCTCTAAAACTGAAGCTAAAGAGTCAACATAAAACAGTCAACTGCACGACTACTTCTTTAACTGTGTTTCTAGGACATCAGTGCTTCCTTCCTCCCCCTATATGAGTAACCCCAGTAGTGAATTACCGAAGGTACGTGACACAGCGTCAAGCACCTTATAAGGATCAACCTACCTAATCCTCCGACCCTCTGAGGTTGATAACATTTTTTACTTTAAAAAAAAAAAAATTCGGGGCCGGCCCGTGGCTCACTCGGTAGAGTACGGTGCTGATAACACCAAGGCCCCAGGTTCGGATCCCATATAGGGATGGCCGGTTTGCTCACTGGCTGAGTGTGGTGCTGACAACACCAAGTCAAGGGTTAAGATCCCCTTACCGGTCATCTTTAAAAAAAAAAAAAAAAAAATTCAGGTGAGATTCACATTACGTAAAATCAATCATTTTAGGGCCGACCCTGCGGCTCACTTGGGACAGTGCGGCGCTGAGAGCGCCGAGGCTGCGGGTTCAGATCCTATATAGGGATGGCCGGTGCGCTCACTGGCTGAGCGTGGTGCAGATGACACCGAGCCAAGGGTTACGATCCCCTAACCGATCACACACAAAAAAAAGAAATCAACCATTTTTAAGTGAACAATTCAGTAGCATTTTGCACATTCACAGTGTCGTGCAATCACCAGCTCTAGTTCCAAAACACTTCTATCACCCCCAAAAGAGATTCCGTACTCACTAAGCAGTTGCTCTCATTCCTCCCCACCCCCAGCTCCTGAAAACCACCAATCTGCATTCTCTTTCTATGGACTTAGCTAGTTTGGATATTTCACGTGAATGTATGTATGGAATCACATGTGACCTTTTGTGTCTAACTTGTTTCACTTGGTATGTTTTTGAGGTTCATCCATGTTGTAGCAGGTAGCGGTACTTCACTTCTTTTTATGGCTGAATAATGTTCCATTGTGTGTATACATGAATAATATTCCACTGTATGTATACATTAATAATACTAACCTCACTTTAGAGATGAGGAAGCTGAGGTT